GGGGGGGGGGGGGGGAAATGTGTCGCCGCATGTGCTCAAAGCTCTGCTCTTTGCAGCTTTGTGGGAGGGTGTTTCTCCGGCCAAATGTTGCCTATGGATACCATGAGGAAGCATGTGGAAATGGTATCTGACTTCGTATGGGGGGGGGGCTGGGGACTCTGTTTGCCAGAGGAGAGGTCTTTAGTTTGACCGTTGACTCGCGACACCGTTTGGCTTTCAGCCCAAAGCAGAAACGGACGAGAAATTTCCATCTCGTGTCCGAGTGAAAAATCTGAAAGTCTGTCTGGAAGTCTTAGCTCTCCTGAGTGTTTTTGTGTTTTTGCTGCTGCTCGGGAGGTCTTCCGCTCTGCGAGCGCTCCCTTTTGTCCTCGCCTTCAGCATATTCTCCAAATGGTGACACAGAAGCGAAGGAGGCGTGCGGCAATATTGGTTGGACTTTAAAGGGTTCCATTTGGCAACCGTGGTCTGCCTCCAACCGGCTCCACGCAGGGAGCAGCTGCTGAGAAATGGCTCCGTTACTTCAGCCCATCATCACTAACCCCAGGGCTTTCATGGGCAAGTCTCTGCTCTGCTCCGGGGCTATAGGGGAGGGAGTGCACTTAACTCTGCTGGCTGAGAAATGCTCTCTGTACTGGGAGAATCTGATATGACACCAGCTTGGCTGCAGGAACTAAAATGAGATAAATTGTAAAGTAGTCGGTTCTGTCCTCTGCAGTATTGGGCAGATGTTTTATCTTTTAGGAAATGCCTGTAGTCACATATTCTTGAAGGAATGAAGCGGGTTTGCATCCTGAACCTGAACCATTTATATTATATTTAAAAAAAAAAACGTTTGCAGGGAAACTGTACGTTGAGGCTCAGTTTTAGCCATACTTTTAAGCAAATTTAACATTTCTAACTTATGCAAAAAGCAAAAGGAGATTTGCATCCATAATTGTCTCACATTTAGTGGATTTATTTTCTATGGGCCAGACAAACAGCAGGTGGAGTCCTTCACCTCTGGGGAAACCCGGTAAGCATTGTCATTTATGCCAGGGAAAAAAAAGTTTGGGGGTTAAAACATTCTTCTTCTTCTATCAAAGTAATTTAGTAAACAGGGGAAGGATGAATTGCTGTGGAAATCTTTTCAAGCTGTCACTGTTATGAAAAGTGTTTTTAAAGCTTAAAAAATCCATTTTATTCTCAGGTGAGATCACAATTCTTAAAAAGCGTTAACCAGCCAATGAGGTGAAAAATTAGTGAAATCAAACCAATGTTGAGCGATGGGCCTGAAGCTGTTTTTAGTGTAATTCTGGATTTGTCCTTCATGCATTTTTCTCCGTTGACTGTGTTCTTTAGATACGAGCTGCTCCAGAACCGGCTCTTCCAGCTGGAGGAGGCGGAGGGAGGCTTCGACCAGTTCACCCGCAGCTACCGGGACTTCGGCGTGCACCGGCGCCCCGACAACAGCCTCTTCTTCAAAGAGTGGGCTCCGGCGGCCGAGGCCCTGTTCCTCACCGGAGATTTCAGTAAGGAGAAAACACCCGGGTTTATCGGTTATCCTCATTTGTTCCCGTGTTTTTAAAGGTTTAAATGATGAATGTTCATGTTTTTCTTTTGTGTTTTTTGTTTTTTTGCAAAGTTTTCTTTGATACAAAATCATTTCCTTGCGTCATGTTGTGTTAAATGAGACATTTTAACGCCCCTGAAAAGCGAAAACTGAAGATTAAGCTCGACAAACTGTGGCATCATGTCTTTTGATCAGCCGGTGCGCGGAGCGGAGCGATCTGGGGGAAACGTTGAGAACGCTTGGTAAACTTTGCATACCGAGGATGCATCTTTTTCATTTGGGAGTTTAATACTTCAGCGGTTGGTTATTTAATCATCACCAAAAATAGCTGAGGCAGAGCAACCTCTCTCAAATATTTATTTTGATCATCAGAGTGGATTTAAATCAAATGGATTTCTAATGAACCTGGAAAAGTGCAGCTCAGATGATGGTGAGTTGTCATTGGTGGGCTTACAGCCTCAACAGTGGCGTTGACTCTGTGACTTCATGTTTTTATTCTTCTGGCGAGTTTTCAGTGAAGTTATGAATGCAGCAATAGTCAAATAAATAAATAATAATAATGTAAACATTGCTATTGAAAAAGTCTTTACTGGTGTTTTGCATGTGTGAATCTGCATACATTCAAGTTTTTTTCTAAACTGAGTTAAGGCCATGCTAATTAAGCCCACTTATAGACTTCTACCCTATTTGAAATCTATTTAAATTTCAGCTCAGCCTACAACCAACTCTGATTGGCCTACCTGAGCTGAGCAGCTACCACAGCAATGGCAGAGCTTACAGCTAGGGGGGGAAAAGTTAAGAGACTGGGTGGGGAAAAATTTTAGTTAAAGGAAAACAAGAAAGTGATCGATGGAAAGGACAAATATCACAAACAAACACAGACCGTGTTTATGTACCGGTTCCCACAGCCAGAAGGGGGACAGGAAAAGTCCCAGCGTGCAGTCTTTAGAGCCATTTGCACTTATCTTTGTGCTGCAGTAATTGGCTTTAATAGACTTACTGAAAATACCGACATTAATAGATTCAGACTGACACTGTTTGCACAACTGGAAATATGTCAATTTGTTTATTGTGCCAGGTAGTTCTGCTTTTCCCCCTCTCCCATTTTTCTCCTGTTCCTCTTCCTTTTTAATTATCTTCCCGGGACCTTGGGCGGCAGCTCAATTCCAGCATTCAATTCAGTGAGAGATTACATTTTGACACGGCTCAGTCATATTATTTGATTTCAATTTCATAGCAAATGTGGAAACAGCCCAGCAGCCCTCTTCATGAATATGGTGCAGGTTGGATGCATAATGCGCAGTTTTTCCAAAGCAGTTTAAGCAAAGGGAGATAAATAAATAGCGAAAATCCGCCCCGGTCTGCCCGTGAGTGCCGGGGTCGAGCCGCCTCACTTCTGGAGCACCTCCTGTGATTTATTTTCCGTCCTCTTGTTATTTTTGGTCATGAATAGCAAGTAGTCGTGCAACACGGAATGAAAACACCGTCTTAAATCGTCAGGCCAAGGTGGTCACTTTATAATAAACGTGCTGTGTTCTGTCAGTCACCGACGATGGACAATGTGGTTTTGGCAGATTATGAATGCGAGGCCTCTGGGTTGTTCCCTCAGACAGCAGTGAAGAGGTTTCTTATCGGGTTTTCTTTGAGACAACGCCGCTTGCTGCTATTTTCTGCCATAATAGTCATATGATACCGGTGAATGATGCAGAGAACAAATGCAACAAGACGGATTTGTGTAACTGAGTGAGTTTTTTTTTTTGCTTGTTTGTGTTTAGTTTTTTTGTGGGGGCTTTGTACAGAGGGATTGTAGAAGTCAGAAAAATAAAGTGGTGCTGTGACCACTGGGGGGTGTTGGAATAGAGGGGGGGAAAAAAAAGCCAAAGTGTTTACTGTAAGCCACACATTGTTGTCAAAAGACAAAGTGGAAACGCAGCGATGTGTCTAAGTAGAATGAAACTATTAATTGTTTCATTAAATATTCATAGACAGAGCTCCAGTAGCGGAATATGAAAAGTCGACTGTAGTGACTCCTAGAGGTAAATACTCATAAGGACAGGCGTAGGTCACATTGTTGCTCAGTAAAAGGCATTTTTCTTCTCCTGTGAGTGGATATTTGAGGGTTTTTCCTAAAGCTTTTGTCTCTAACCGCTTAACTATAGGTATAGTGGGGGAAATAAGAATTTGACCCCTTGCTGATTTTGCAGGTTTGCCCACTTACAAAGAATGCAACGATCTACTATTTTAATCATATATCCATTCTAACAGTGAAAGTCAGAATCCCAAAGAAAATTCCAGAAAATCACATCATATGAATTTATAAAAATTGATAACCATCTGATGAGGAAAAATAAGCATTCTTTGTAAGTGGGCAAACCTGCAAAATCAGCAAGGGGTCAAATACTTATTTCCCCCACTGTATAATTGCATCTACAACCGATACCTTTAATTTAATTTGTCCTGGATTATCAAATGTCATTTCATGAAATTTCATCCATCCATTTGTTGTAACTCCTAACCGTGGATCGTGATTCGACTGAATGACTTTGCCTTTGGCCTGAAAAATGTCTCTGTTCCTTCACAGACGGCTGGGACAAGTTTGCCCACCCCTACAGCAAGAAGGAGTTCGGCAAGTGGGAACTGGTTCTTCCACCCAAGCCCGACAACTCTCCCGCCGTGGATCACAACAGCAAACTGAAGGTAGAGCCGGCGGCGTCTCCGTGCCCGCGCCCTCTGAGCCTTCGCCCGGTGGCGTGCGCGTGGGCCATTCCCTGTCATGTGTGGCGTCTTCTGAAGCGAGCCAGAAGCCGGCGTGGCGCCGTCAATAACGTGTCGCACTCGCGGCGCGGCAGAGAGATTAGTGCACGCGAACACGGGCTGCTCAGCGGAGAGTCGGGGCACCTGAGGAGCTCCACTGATGGCTTTGTTTTTGCTCCCATCTGCAGCAGGTATCCCTGGAGGCGCCGTGCTGCGTCCGCCCGCCACAAAAACCCGAGCCCACAGTGGGCAAACATGATTGGTTTTAAGCTCTGGTAAATAATTCATCAGGGTTAAATGCAAAAAAAAAAGAAAAAAGCCGCCTCCCCCTTACGCATTGTCTCAGCGCGGATGAAGAATAGCTTAGAAATGCGATGCCAGGCCTGGAGTGGATGGCACGGGTGCAGCTCTCTCCTTGGGACCGGGTCATCTTTGGCTCACTCCTCCGCCCCGGACAAGCTGCCCAGCTCCCATTGTCAGCGGAGGTCAGTCCGAGGACGATAAGAAGCAGATGGAAACGCTGGCACCTGGCCTTTCCTTGTGCACCCCCGCTGCCTATGAATGGCTGTCCTACTGTGAGCTCCACTTCAGAATTAGTTCCACAGCACTCCCTCGTGGATGCACGAACCGGCCTCCAATCACTCTCCCCGAGAGCGACTTGCCCTCCCGTCCCCCTTTGCTCGGGGCCCAATTTGTCTCCGTAAACACGCAGTGTCCTTTTCTGGGTGCGGCTTTTACAATCTGTAATTATATTTCAAGTACGCGCAGCGTGGGGGTTGTCTAAGCGATCGTGTATTTATTCGAACCGCACATCGTCCACTTCTGAGCTCCTCTTCCCGTCCACGCAGCCCCTTCAGCCTGCCCAGCAGTCTAACTTTTCTTTAATGTTCCTAAAGGTGGCCAATTTGTCTGAAGGAGCAGGCCTAATGCCAGTCCATTTATCCAACTATCTTTTCCTAATCCTATAAACTATGAAGCATGTCATAAGGGGAGCCATGCAGCTAACCATTAGGCGGTCTCTTCATAATGAAAAAATCCCACCGGGGAGTCTTGCTACAGGCTCCCAGGCAGGTGGCATTGAACCAGTCATTACTTCACAACAGTAGCCTGATTTAGTTGGGTTCTAATGCCGCTTTCTGAAAAGGTACAAAAACAGGGTGAACACATACTGTGACTAACACTGCAGAGTCAATTTCTTGGTCGGTTTTCCAACTCTCATACTGCTTTTCCCCTCCTGCCTTTGACAATGAGGGGAGAGTAACTTGTCAGATTTCCAATCTGTTTATTTCACCTCCTTCCGATTCTGAATTGCTGGCATAATAGATGAGACCCAAAGGAAAATCATTCTGTCCAATTTTTTATTTTCCTAAATTGCTCTCTGGCTTCAGTCCACTCAAGATGGACTCGTAAGTGGCTGTGTTAAAGCAATAACAACTGCCCTCTGCACAAAATACAGTACAATGTAATAATTGCTGAATCTAGATTCAATGCGACGACTATTCTGGTCAATATTGTTGCCCTTTGTTCCCTGAACCACATGATGTCCTGCTGCCCTCTGAGAGGAAAGGCTTTTATTTTTTTCCTCTGCATCGGGGAGCCGGGACCTGGTTTTGCATGGTGTATTCTTTTTTCTAGCCCACGCATTTTTAAAAATGTTAGGTTTATTGCATGAGCTGTCTGCACCATCTCTCTGCCTAATGGATGGGGAGTAACAGCACAGTTTTATGATGTAAGCATTTCATGGCCGGAAGGCGTAAATAAATGCTGACTGTAAAGTCGAACGGGAACTGGAGAGACCATTTGAAGTCTGATGATTTGTGAATGCCTTACCTTTTTTTTTCTTAAGCATTTCAACCTTCATGAGACCTGCTCTGCTTTGCATTCTGTCATAGTTCATCTGTCTTTCATGGCTTTTTAATTGTCCATTGTCCCCGCTTCTCATTTAGTCGCGGTGTTGTCACCATATGCTAACAGACTCCAGTGACTTTTTAATGTCCAATTTCTCCCAGTGTTTATGCGTCCTTGCCGTAACATACCCAATTCATCTTATGTTCCCAGGTGGTAGTTCACACCAAGAGTGGCGAGCGCCTGTACCGGATCTCGCCGTGGGCCAAGTACGTGACGAGGGAGGAGAAGTCTGTCATCTACGACTGGGTTCACTGGGATCCTCCTCAGCCTTATGTTGTAAGCTGACATTTTCTAATGCTTTTCTGATCATTTCCTCTTATTATTGTGTCATTATAGGGGTTTTCCACCTGTATTTACTCAACGCTTTGATTGGACTTGTTTCCACTTTGTGACTGATGCCTCCTATTTTAATAACGCAGCGACAGCAAACATCATTATTATTTCATTATTTCTGTGGTGGTCATTGTTGTAAAAGCCCATTACATGAACCATCACCGCGGTTCTGCCGGTACAAACCGCATCCCGGGCCGCTCGGCTGTTCTTTCTGTTACCGCCTCACTTTTAATGGAAAACCACCTAAACCGGATTGTGGCGAGTGGAGCCGAGCTGGTCTGAGTAAGGCACTAATGGGAAACTCCCATTTAGACACATAAATATTAAAGAATGGTTGCAATTATGTATATTGCATGGCAAAGCAATAATGCGAGGAAATAAAAAATTTAACATAAGCTAATCCTTTAAAAGCGTGTCGCTGCACAAAGCTTTGAAAGTCTGATACTGTGACTGCAAAAGTACATTCTTGGTTGAGTTCAAACGACATAATCCTCCATTTTCTGCTTACATGATCTTCCTGGTAGAACAGAATTCTTAAGTTTTTCGTTTTAAAGAAGATGGTAAAGGTTTTGATTCATCTGTGCAAAGCTCTGCCTTGATTTCTGTCCCCCTGTCCCTCCCCAGCGTGTCCACCCCCGTCCAAAGAGGTCCAAAAGTCTGCGAATATACGAGGCCCATGTGGGTATCGCCTCACCTGAGCCGAAGGTGGCCTCCTATACCGACTTCACAACCAACGTTCTGCCTCGCATAAAAGAACTGGGTAAGAAATGAGGAAAACATTTAGCCCGCCCCCTCCCATTTTGTTCTCTTTTATTTCTTCAGCTAGTCAATTTAATCCTCTCATTGGAGTGTAAACCACAGCTTTTGTGGACTCCTCTGGAGGAACATTTTATAGCTCTTCCATAAGAGAAAGGAGGCATCGAGATAGAAGTGGACCCCCATATACACTCACCATGCCGAGCCAACCATCTGGTTGGAAAGCGTTGTTTGATGGATTCGGGGGCTGTTGTCTTTGTCAGAACTGCTCCGTAGCACGGTGCACGTCTCATGCTGCCGTGAGTGAGAACAGAGCCTGGAACGGCTCTTTAGGGCCCGTCACGCCACCCCTGCATGAGCACCCCACTCCCCGTTTACCGGCATGACCCGAAGGAACCGCTGACCGGTGGAGAGTGTTTTGAAAAGGAAAGTCATGCGCTGACAACTTGTTTCCATTTTCGTCACGATGACTCACGCTGGAGACAGCCACCAAAAGCCAGCTTCCTTCATCTTGGGCCACATTCAGTTGAAGGTGTTGCACAGCAGTTTTTACAGTAGACAGATCACCTAAATGATGATCATCATAACTGTCCCGTTTAATTTAGTGCTAATAAATTCAGTGAGTAATATATTTGGCAGAAAATGCAGAGTTTTTCTCTCTCTCTCTGGCTGGTTTCAGATTTCTTACCTCTGATTAATTCAATTTAGCCCTCATCGAGTTTTGCTCGTCCAGACTTCAGCTGATTGATTACGGAACTTTGGGTTGTATGTCACTGTCTTTTGTGGCTTTTTATGGCCTAATCATGGTGGATTCACACGGTTCATTGAAAAAATACTGTAATATGAGCTGGACTGCGTTTCTAATCCTCTCCAGTCGGTTACCTCGTTACATGCTTGTCAAAAGAGAGACGAAGCTTTGTTCCAACATCCTTGAACGCGTCTGGAAAAAAATCAGACATTCAAATGTCAACTGTGACTCTGAATGCCGATATAAAATTTAAAATCTCTCCGAAAGGAGAACAACACAGTGAAAATGTGAAGGAATGATGCAATTATTAATATATTAGACGATTGAGTTTAGTTAAAACAACATATAGCATTTATACCATTAAGAGGCTTCGATATGACAGATGCAACAGAACGGACTGTAATCTTGTTCTGTGGTAAGGAAACCAAAGATTCTGCCTTCAGAAGCTCAGGGACTTTGCACAATAGCTTCCTCCAGAAGCTAACCTCCATCGTGTCTCGGCTCTGCCTGCCATTCCCTTTTTCTGACTGAAGAATGTGTGTATTTATATAAATATAAAAAGAGATTCTTGTGCTCACCCGAGTGCTTTGTCACTCCTTCAGAGACTATTTTTTTCCCTTTTTTTTTTTTCTTTCTTAGTCTGCTCAACACAACAAAGACGAACCTCAGGGCCTCTCTCTGGAGTGCTCAGTATCACTTTAAAGGCATGTTGATCCTTATTTATGGAGGCGGTTTTTGTAGGTCTTTTTGAAATGTTTTACATGACCTCCTGACTCTGATAGCTAGCGTCTCCCTGTTGCCACAGCCTGTCCCAGCGAAACGAGGCTTTATGTCAAAAAGGATATGCCTGGAGGCCACATACAGTACAACTGACTCGGGTCAAACAATATCAAGTCTGGGTTTGTGTTTGTTTGTTCAGATGCCCTCTATTCCAGATGAATTATGCCTCAAACATCAAATCTGCTGTTCACTTGTAGAGATTAGACCTGCTTCCTTTTATAATCATCCATAATTTTGTAATTTACCCTCAATTGATATCGGAATATTCACTTCCTTTATTGTTTGACGAGATGAGGCCTTTAAGAGGATTTTATTAATGGTACTTCTCCCCCTCCCCCCCCAATTTATATCCTCTTCATCCAGGTTACAACTGCATCCAGCTGATGGCTGTCATGGAGCATGCCTACTATGCAAGCTTTGGATATCAGATTACAAGTTTCTTTGCTGCTTCCAGGTGAGCGTTTGATGAGGTATTCCCGATGTGGGGAGTGTTCCAGCATTAATGGGATTACTCATGACCACGAGCACGCCGTGCTTGATTTGGTAGAAAACAGTTGTGCTTCAGGAAATTATAGCACCGCCTGTAAATTTTGGGCCTTTCCTACTAAAGGAATCAAAAGAGAGAAGTAACTAAATGCAGTGTGACTAATTAATCCCCTCAGCTGGGTTTGTCCAGCTATAGAGATCCGTGACGTGCTTTAGTAACCACAGTTGCACACAAATCAACCAGGACTGAAATACAGGTATGCGGGATTATAAAAAGGCGTCCCAACGGTATAGTTTTTTTTTTTTTTTTTTTTTTCCCCTCCCTACTTTCCCCATTACACTGCTTTTATCTGCTGTGTGTTGTATCAGTAACTGCACACTGTCACAAACTCGGGAAGCAACTTGGACTTAGTCACCTCAAATCAAGGTTAGGAAGTCTGACACGAGCAATAATCTCTCTGTAAACACATTTCCCGTTAATCCGCGGGGCAAGGGAAGTTCTAGATAAAGGTGGAGCACTGCGAGTGTTCATCCATTTTTCAGGGGCCCTTCTTTCTTGCTGGGAGTAGTGCTACGGCGTTCGCGTGTAGCATTTATATTGTAATTTCACCCTTGATTGATCCCGTAATGCAGTTTAAACCCATATTGGTGAATAACCGGAACATGCGCTATCGCATGTGCTCGGTTTTACCAGCAAACGGATCTGATGATAGCTGGAAGGACAGATGGGATGTTACTGTTGAATAGGAGTGCATTATGTGTTCCAATATGAGAAAAAAAGCTTTTCTGATGAATATATACTCTAATTTCCTCCATACAGGATCAGTTTGAGCCAAATAATAAAAGTAGGATGTTATAATTGGGATGACATGGGAGTTTAGTGGGAGAGATGTGACTTAACATTAATATCTGTGCTTCTGTATCCACTTTTAGTCGCTATGGTACCCCAGATGAGCTGAAGCAGCTGATTGACGTGGCCCATTCAATGGGCATTTTAGTCCTGCTGGACGTGGTTCACAGCCACGCTTCCCAGAACACAGAGGATGGTCTGAACCGATTCGATGGCACAGACTCCTGCTTCTTCCATTCACCACCCCGAGGAGAGCACTCGCTCTGGGACAGCCGCCTCTTCAATTACGGCAGGTACTGTTTGCCCAGCGCCACTTCCTTATTTTTCTGATCCTTCCTTTTTTCCATGGGCCCTCTATGTGTGACCTGCATGTTTCTATGGATTTTGATTGATTTTTTTCGGCAGTGATCGAATCTATGACGTGTCAAATATGTTCAAACGACCTATCAGAAACACGCTCAACGTATTTGATCAACATCAGAATACAAAAGTCACTGGAGCGCAGCTAAACTGTACAAGTAAAATACCTTTCTGAAATGTTATTGAAATAAAATTAACTTGTTAATAATTTACTTTGATTACAGCAAAAAAAGATCATTAATGTAACTGCATCACATTATTAGAAAGAAATGAAGGACGAGGGGAGAGACGGAAAGAATATTATTATGACATAATTAGCTAATTTCAACAATCAACCATACCAGAGCCATTATGTCCAAAACATTAGGTCTCTCTTCTATAGAAAAGCACTTGGCTGCAAATAAGTAATTATCAATTATAGTTTTAGAAGATTTGAGCAGAAATAAGCGCCACAGTGGGTGTTCATAGACATTAACAATCCATTTTTAACTGAATAAAACACTTAACCAGCCAATTTTGTGGGATTAGCATCATAATGAACAGCTGTCACCATCACTAAAGAAAGTCAGTGAATAGCTGCGGCTCATAATTACCAAAAGCCTGGAACCAGGCAGGAGCTGAACGGTTTGTATGGCCGTGTCGTTACACGCATGCGTACGCAAGATGCTAAACTACGATTGGACAGGAGGGTCTCTTAATCAAGAGGATAAAAGGTTATCAAAATCCTTTTTCTTCTTGATTCTGGACAGGTGTTGACTTTGTGTAGCAGCGTCAGTTGGCAACAAAACGATGTCCGCCACATCAAGGAGAAGTCTGGAAAAAAGAATATAAATAAGAAAAGATGAAAACTTTTGCGCACTATTGTTCTTTCAGAATAATATAAAATTACGCACATTATCCACTTGGTGGTTTCGGTCCTATTTTTTAACATGTAATTCTTATGGAAAGTGTATTGATGGAGCACATATAGAGTTTTTTTGTCAGAGTTTACAAAGTTCAACATTTCTTACTCGTGTAAGGGGTCTAAAAAGCTTACAGTGGCTGAAAATTGAAATACTATCAGTAACTGATATTTATGTTTTAACACGGCATTTAACCAGCACTTTAAACCGGCTTCACCATTTCCACCACTTTATGCTGCTGTAATTTTAATGCAATTAAATCCATCACTGATTTTCTTCTTTTTTTTTTTTTCTCCCTTTTTTCTTTTCTGTACTCCTGGAGCCTTTCAGCACCACCTAAAAGCAGGAAACTGGCCATTGATTGCAGCAATTTCGACTCAATTATGCTCTTGCTGGAGAAATTTGAGTTGGTGCTGCGTTTTTAATGTTGCATATGGCATTCAACTCATGAATGATATTTAAAACCTGTCCTGCTTGCATCAGAGATATAAACGAGCGCTGTGGTTTTACTGTAGAGACTCTGGATGTAAAATGAAAATGAGCAATATTTGAACTGGCTGATAAATGAGGCCAGATGGGAGCTCTTTTTATTCTCAGACTGTCTGATACAGAAAAATCAGTCGAAGGTCAAAAAGGAATATATGATGGAAGATTCCACTTTATATCATTCAACAAAATGGGCAAAGTTAGGCTAACGGTTAATTGGATGTATCAAATGTTCAAATTCAGATGTTTTTTTTTAATTCTTCCTCCTTAAACCCGTGTCTGGGCAGCTGTTGAACTCTGTATTGATGCAAAAAAAAATGAGTTCACACAATAGTGTGTGCTAAACTTGATCATTTTCATATTTGAGCCCATTGTAAAAGTGAATTGCCGGTCCTGTTTTCTTTCTCCTCTGGTGGTGAGTGTTCAGCATAACTGACTGTGTGCTCGTCGGCTCTGTTAATTAGGTGTTTCTCTTGCTTCTGTACCCCGAAAATGATCCCAGCCCACATTAGAGGGGAGCAGGCTCTGTTAAGTCTATCAAATGCCTTTTTGAACTCGCTTTTAATAAGAGTGTGTCAGTGTGCAGCGGTTTCCGATACATTATACAATGCTTAGTGTCAGGCATGGGGGCTATAATAAGGGAACACGGTTCTTCTTTCATTAGTTATTGAACCGTCCCGGTATCAGAAGCACTCATTAGACGTGGTGCAGACATATGCCGCGACTGGGAGGCATACGAGGAGTCATTTGTAAAAGCCCAAAGGAGCACTGCAATGTCATACCCAGTTCATTTGTCTTCTTTGCCTCTCATTGGATGTTTGGACATGTCGTTTGTGTCAAGCTCTGTGTTACTCTCTCAGGAGGGAAATGAACCTCGGAGGCACACTGTGAGCGCAGCGTGAAACAGTCAGTTTTTAATCAAAAAGCCTCTCTATCAACAATAAAACTCCTGACCATGATGTTCTTATTAGGGTGACAAAGGTTGACTGAAGCAATCTTTCGAAACAAATATGCACTTTCCCTGTTCCAGCCTCCTCTGCTCTGTTTTTTTTTTTTTGCCGTTGTGTTCCACTTCGGCTTTTCCTCATAAAACATTCAGTGCAGTCTTGAGAAAATGCTGCCGTTAGATGGATGCCTGCCATCCAATTTGTTAACTTGCATTGCCTTGAAGTCAAATGCATCTGTATTCTACGTGGCGCTCCGGGCTTTTCCAGCATTAGTTCCAAGATGTAGTAACACTAGAATTAGTTTTGCATTTAGTGAATCTCAATTTGGTAGGTCTGAGATGCGCTGAAACTCTGGTAGGACAAAAAACAAAACAAAACACACTGGTGTGAATTAATACCAGCCCTTTGGTCAGTAGGTTCTTTAGTTTGTATTTGTTTCTACATAGTTGGCTTAAAAAAAAAAAAGATGATAGATATCCAAAGTGTTTGTGGTGTTACACTAAACATGTTTATGAGTCTTATGTTCTTTAACCCCATTTTAACTAGCAGCATTTCAGGCTTTTGTCTAAAAATTTTCTTAAACCTTGAGCATCAGTGAGCCCTTTTCATTCCAGTTGATCTGAAATGCCTTGATGATTTAAAATCCCACACACTGTCCGTGGCCCTGAAGCGTTGAAGTAACAAATTTGCTTGTCACCTGACCCTGCATGAATGTTTTCTCCAGGTTAACCCCTCCTGACGCCATCGTTTCCACCAGCATGCATAATCAATTTAGCCGATAAGGAACCTGTATTTTAACAGCTTTATTTATTTATTTAGGACTCCAATTAAAATTTGTGCAGGGGATTTGGAAAGTGAGCAGGTCTCTGGCTGTGATCATAGGTGTGTACATCATTAGTGGATTGCGGGCAAACTGTGGCCCCTTGAACCAACACAAAGTGCAGTTTATACACCAGTTGCCATCATTCGGAAGTCACTTAACTGGTAATACGACGTTCTTTTCCCAAGATGAGCAGAATCCAACTAGGCAATGCGTGTACTTGTAATTTGACTCTATTTCCTTGGAAAACATGAAAGTCACCTTGCCACGGTGAGTGGATGAATGGAGCCTGTGGCTCCAGGTAGGGGGCTGACATCCAAAGAGGCTAAGCCTTTTTGCAGTTCAGGGTTTTGAGTGGTGAGTACTGTGAAGTTCTGACGAGCTTGATGTGGTCTCTCTCTCTATAATCCCCACCTCTCTCAGGAACATTTGCTTCCATTTTTCATCAATCTTTGTGTGAATTCTTAAGATATGAAAAACAGGCCCTGGGCCAGGCTTCTGAATAAGCTTTTTAACTCTTCTCTATACACTCACGCTGGGAGATCAGCCCTCGGTTTGAGGTCCCAGCTACAATATTTCTCTTCGACAAGGTTATTCTATGTATGTTTTATTTCATTCAAACATTCATAAGTAATGTTTTGTTTTTTTCTATTTTTTTGGATTGTTTTTGTGAATGTTACTGTTCATCTTTGCTCCTAAGCTCTATTATAATGACTACTAAACAAAAATGGACTTTAAAAATGCAAATTGAATAAGCATTACTTAACCGTATAAAATATATTTTAGAGACTAAAAATTCAGATAAGATAAAAATATAGACCGTAAACATTTGAGATTAAACTGCATCCTGGAATAACAAAACTCCAGCTCACAAGACACAGGAATTTGTCTTTTCACCTACCTGGTTCAACTTCAGTCCCATACTGATGATCATTCAGTAAATTAACACTTAGATAGCTTGCACTTCCTAGTTGAAGTCATTTAAGTGTCTGGCACCCATTACATATTTCCTCTGCCTGATCAAGCCACACAGGAAAGGGAAAAGGAGTTTTTCCCCTCTGCTGATCTTCAGCTAATGAGCTCAGCTTAGCTGGAGGTGTGCACGGTGGCTTGTTGGAGCTTCCTGTGGCGCTTCCAGTCTGTGCCTGAAGGAGTCAGTGGCTTAAATCATGCTGTTCTACAGTTTAACCTCAACCTTTACAAACTATCTTGCAAAGAGAAAAAAAGACCATGGCCTCAAGATGCATCAGTTGCTTCATCCTTTTGTCCTGCATCAGTGAATTGCCCTATTTTATTTGTATTTTTTGTTTTCCAAATCAGTGTCAATCTCCCAAACTTAAAATCATAATCAATAAAGAGGAGTAAAGACTAATATTAAAACAGAAAACAAAACGGGGTAAAACTTGCTTTACCCATCAGGCTCCTGATGTTGTAAGATGAAAATTGTTCTCTTAAAAACACACTTTGGATAACAGCATCTGCACAATGCCTAAAAGTAAACATTTGGGGGAAAAAAGTTTAATTTGTGGCATTGCCAAATGGCCTCCCTGCTGGTCTTTCCCATCTCGAGGTGATGTTTTATTCCATCAGAAAAGCCGAGTGGCTTCAGGCTGCCAACCAGGAGGCTGCGAGCTAGAGGGCAAAAGCTGTGCTCAGGCATTTGGGTTGGAGATTCGGGTTATTTCCTAGTGGCAATGGTCTCTCCACTGGTGGGACTTTAGGGATTTCTCATGAGCACATGTCCATCCTGTGTATGCTAGTTGTACTTGGACATTTTCCGTTGGATAAAACTTCAGAGACGCACAATAGGCTTGACAAGGCCCCATTGATTCCTGAAAGACGGCGAGTACAAAGTGATACTAATTACATGTTGCTAAGCCGGCAAACAATCTCACAGGCAGCAGAGCATCTCTCTCAGGATGCCAGGAAATGATAGCAAGCTGCCAGGCGGCATAACGAATGCCAGGCAAACGGCAGATATCGAACACAAAGAACAGCAGCCCAGGGACAGCTGTCAGGCCTCGAGACGACAGTTTACCCAACAAGGTAGCCACTTTTACCACACTGTTGTAGCAACTTGTGACAGTCTGATATTAAATGGGAAGATTTATTCCAGCAGTTTAACACAGAGTGGCTAACACTCCATAATTTAACACCGCTGACAGTTTTACCTGTTCTTAATAGTAGCAGACATTATGATGCATCATTAGGAATCATCTATTATTTAAGGATGGGATGTTTGTCTGCAGACGACTGGAAAAATCCAGCCTCAAGCTAGAAATTATCTTATTGTAAGTCTGCACCTCTGGAAATCTACGCCGGGTTGAAATCTTGATTAGGATCCCAATTTGTTCTTTTTGGTCCCATCCATCAGGGCGGCCGGCCAGTGTCTCCGCTTTAGCGTGGCACTTCCTGTGGAGGGACCTGTCAGCTGCTTGAATTTATTTGTTCTCATCCGCAGCCCACCTGTGACGTTTTGAAACGGGGATTTCAATCTTTTTCTCCCCCCTTCTTCAAAGCGGACTTTTAGAAAACGCCATATTTGGATCGGATTGTTTGCTCTGCTAGCTTAACACAGACGGCAAACGCCTGCACGGTCACGGTCGGCATGAAACGAGCCCTGACGAATCACGTGGGAGAAGCAGGCTGTTATTGAATTGATTTCTGGTAATTTGTGCAGCAGTGTGTGCTTGCAGGCAGAACACTTGCACATATGAAAGATTCTTATCTTTCTGATGCAAGCAGCAGTGTTAGAGCTTCAGTATGTGAGAGCTCTCTAACCAGCTTTGACTGTCACTGCTCAGCTTAGAGCTGAGGACGGTGTAAAATGCAATTTGCTTTCATATTAGCACCACAGACGAAGATATAACTTCCTGGAACTGCATAGATAAGCGGCGTATTGCATCTGGTTCAGGATCTACCTCTCTCACTGTAATTGGACTTGATGATGAATGGCGTTGTGGGTCCTAATGTGGCAGTATGGTTTCATCTTGAGCCTCTGGCTCTCACTAGCTATTATCTCCATCCTTTGAGGATACATTGTGTCTGAGCCTTTGTTGGCTCTGCGCAGTGGAGTGGAGGACCTAATCTATTTATCACAGGGTCTGCGTGACCACCCAGGCGGGCTGCTCTATCGGATCAGAGCAGGCTCCCCTGTGCTCTTCCTCCGGGGGCCAGGAAAGCGGAGATGTTACATGCGGCGTCACACCTGTCAAACAGCGCCGGTGCTGGTCATCCCCGAGGATTAAAGGACAGAGGGGATCATATTTAAATGCATTCCGGTGTCACGGCTCCGTGATTCACAAGAATCTGGGATTTCGTCTTTTTGCCACAGTGCATGTAATCCTCAACATGAAAGTTCATAGGAATTTTCTTTTCTTTCCATTTTTTAGAATGTTTAAGCACAAATGTTGGTCTCCTCACTGCTTCACCAAGCCAAAAATAAAGCCGAAAAGAAAAGAAAAGCTAAACTACATCTAAAAGTGGTGTTTTTTCTGGATTCAGGAAAAGGGAAATGGCAGAGAGAAAAAGTGGGGGGGAAAAACTGGAACTGCAATTATTAGATATGACTTTTTTGAGCCCTTCATCAGCTTTTTATATTACACTATAATTTTTACTAATGGAAATGATTAAGAATTCAGGTTTGTAATTGAGCTTTGCTCAACAGAAAGTTATATAGTTCAATCCATTTGTCAAGAGGGGGACATGTCCTCTAACATAAAACACCCCCCCTCCAGTCCTGAGCTCCTGTGGTCACTTTTCCTAAAGGTGAAATATCAGAAGACATGGAGAAATATCAGAAGACGTAAAATGTTTGTTGGTATTGTAATATTCAGGTACTTTGCAGACACATTATACGGGTTTTTTGTTGCTTCTGTGTGTGCGTTCCAGTTGAGAGTGCAGAGGCAGCTCACACTTAATCAGCGCCTTGCATGTGTCATTCGTCTCACATCCTGGGTGCTCCGCTTCTGCCCTCCAGCGCGGCATCTGAGTGTACCGCGTTTCATTTGGCGCTCATTACGCACGCCGCATAGAAACAACCAAATATTGAGCTTTCGCTGACGTTTCCAAGGCGACCCGACCCGCCTATGAACGGGAGCGCAGTGTAGTCGCTGTACTGCCCTGAGTGGCTGTACAAAAACCAGATCACTCTCAGAGGTGGTAAAATAGTGACGAGTTGCATTTAATATTCAGCAGTTAATTGGCTCCACTACACATAATGCTCCATAGTCTTTGCCCTTTTACATGTGAAACAGAGGCGTCCATTATATGTATTAGAGAAAAAAGCCAAAGTCGGTAGAAGTCTTTGATTTATTTCGTCCTCCAGAGAGGAAGCTCGGCTCAAACGTGTGGTGTTTGTTTACCCAAGTGTAGAATTAAATCCATCAGTTCTAATACACAGGGATAGTCATGGCTGTACAAAAAAAACTTGCCAAGTAGTCATGCATGTGATCTGATGGAAATCAGGAAAACCTCACAGAGCAGCCAGAGCCACCGGTTTCATCATGACAGCTCCATATGTGAAAGGCACTGTCCCCTGCTCAGGACAGTCCATAAAAACACTGTCTGCTGTCACTCGCTGTCCATCTTCAGCATAACGCCACTTTGCTTCTCAATATGTGAACGTCCTGTTGTGGCTTAATTAATGTCTTCTGCCTAAAGTACACGAGATGTGTGACTAATTCACAGCTTCCTGTTTGTCTGACCTTGGATGCTTTGTGTCTTTGTGTGTCTTTGTGTGTGTGTGTGTGTGTTACTAGCTGGGAAGTGCTGCGGTTCCTGCTGTCAAACCTGCGCTGGTGGATGGAGGAGTACTGCTTCGATGGCTTCAGATTTGACGGCATTACCTCGATGCTCTACCACCACCACGGTGTCGGTAAGACTGGGCTGGGTTTCAGGACTGGGTTGTGGAACCTGCTCTCCTTTTTTGTAAACAGCATCATTATCGACAAAATATTGGGTGAAATGTCTTCTTTAAAAAAATTAAAAAAGCTCAATATTGTCATGTTGGCGTCTTGATTCGAAATGACAGTTTTAAGAGGAATTTTATGTCTTCTCAGGGCAGAAATAGGTCAAACTTGAAGTGAGATTAAATGCCTGTGGTAGTAAAAAACAAAATCAGGAATTTTGGAAGTTTGGGCTGAAAATACTAATTGATCCTGCGTTGGTGTTTACCCCTTAGGCACGGGCTTCTCTGGGGACTACAGTGAATACTTTGGCCTTCAGGTGGATGAAGAATCTTTGGTTTACCTGATGATTGCCAATCACATTCTCCATACTCTTTATCCTGACTGCATCACTATCGCAGAGGTAAAGAGAAAAAAAAGAAAAGAAAAGCAGAAACAACTCTCTAGCACACATGCACAGCATGTACTCCGAGATGGCACTGCCCTCAGGCAATAATTAAAAATATTTATTAGTCAGGCATGGCTTACTTGCTTTTTTCCCCCACTGTTGTGATTTATTAGTTACTATAAAAGGAGAATGAGATATTTGATCTTGGTCGACTGGGAGGGAAACCTGTGCATATAAAGGGAATATGTGGTTTCACATAGTGAGTGCTCTCTGCAGGATGTGTCAGGAATGCCTGCTCTGTGCAGAAGTGTGGAGGAGGGAGGACTTGGCTTTGATTACCGGCTGGCAATGGCAATTCCTGACAAGTGGATTCAGGTGAGGTGACTTACTTATTTTTGATTGGTTCCTCTTTGAAGATCCAAGTTTCTATTTTGTCAGTTTGCACAAATCCTTTTATAGAAATTCTATAAGATCAATACATTAGAGGCCTGACAAGTGGAAGAAAAGCATCTCTAAAGTTTATCATCAGAAGACTGAACTAGTACAATTTCAGAAATGTGTGCATTGTTACAAATATCGAAGTCATTAAGTTTTAGTTTTATTGCTTTTTTTCCTGTTCTTCTTTCCATTGCACTTTTTCTTTTTTTTTACCCTACACATCTGACAAATGAGTTAAGGAACGTGGCTGCTGTTGAAAATATAAGACTTTAATTCAAACAATTGCATTCATGTTCTGTGACCCTTCTCTTCCTGTGCGTGAAATCAAAATTTTATGTGATCCTGATGAGGCAGATGCTGAAAATGTTGACGTGCAGGTTTTCTGGTTTCTGATCCCGTCCCAAACTTTTTCTAAGTAGAGCTTTGAATAGGCGGACTGTCACATCTATCTTTCATTTATTAATCATTCACTGTGAAACGGGTTTCCTTGGAATAACTTATTATGTTGTTTTTTTATTTATTTATATTTGCCACTCATTCTGAATGTAAAATCAACATTAAACCTAGTCTCTCCCTCAGAAACTTAAGTTAAAATCACTGCTTATTGTCTTTTGCAAAATTTTAGAAAGGACAATTACATCTGAGAGGTTTTTTGCTATCTTTAAAGTGTTTGGACTGTATGAAAGAAATTCAGCCTAGATTTTACTTTTACATTTTTTTTTGTTTCTTGTTCTCATCTGTGCTCTGTTTTAGTTCACACTCACATTCAGGCAAACTATAATTCCTAGTTATGTAGGATTTGTTTTCTTATGTGAAGCAGAGTTAAGGCTTACAGTGCGATATTTTTTTTTAAATCTTTCATGTTTGCTTGGAGGTTCTCATCCATCATGCTGCGCTACAGACAGTGCAGCTGTTTTCTTGGGTATCCTCTTGATAAAAGGCAACTAACGTCTACGCTCTAACACGCAAACATTCAGACAAACGTCCTCTGAGGGAGTGGTGGTGAACATTTTTAAGTCTGGCAGATGACGAGACAAAACAGAAGTCATGCTGTTCCTCAGTATTTTTTCCTTATCAAGCGTGTTCCTGATGAAAAACAGGAACTCCAATCACTTAAATACCACTGTATCACTATCAATGCCTACTTTTTGAGGCGATATTAAATGATAGTGTCTGTTTTTTGGATGAAGAGAGATTTTTATTTTATTTTATTTTTTTTTTGTGCCAGCTTTGGACAATCAAGTCTATTCTATTAAACACAAAAGAGAGCACTCTGTTCCACCAGCCGTTGGATGCCAAAGCAGCACATTATCCAGCCCGGCGTTCCCGCCCAGCGCTGCCTCAGTCTGGCTGAGAGATTGTGGGCACCAAATATTCACAATCCTACGGCAACGAGCGCTGAAGCACCCTTTAGCTCTGCACTCGAGTCCAAACTGTCTCTGTAAAGTACTTAATAGCCCACAATGGGAAAACATTGTTTATAACTGCTCAGTCATTGGGTCCATAACTGTGTAACGTTGAAGGCAGAAAAAGGACATAGAAAAGTGTGTGCATACCCATCTAAAGAAAGGAAGGAAAGTTATGTAATGGGTTTCCTTTCCTTCTTTTTTTTTTTTTCCTGCTTCTACACGAAAAGCTGTCAGAAAGTAAGTGTTCCCACAAAGCCCGTATTGATGAAAACGCCACCCATTTGCTGTCGATATACAACAGAGCTTTTTGAAATTGCCTAATAATTCTTTAGAAAATATATTTGTGGGAGCATGGAAGGTTATCTGTGGTGATTTGTGAAGTGTGGGTAGACTCTCCTGCTGGATGAAAGTGGATCACTGTGACTCTGTGTGCTTTAGAACAGTGGAGGCCATTTTCTGCTTTGAAAGAAACGCATTAAAACGCGGTCTTGTGTAACTCTGCTTTGTTTTGCGTCCTGTGGCCCGCAGTGAACGTTACAGAACATTTACTCATTTTCGCAAAAAAGCAGGGCAGACGGCGCGACCCCGGCCCGGCGTGCGCGCTCCACAGTGGCCTGTGTTTCTCGGTGGGGGAAGCCAAGGCATCGTTAATCAAGTCCGTCTCCCCCAGCGGTCGGTTCTCGTCGGTTGCAGTGGATGGAGGGAGGCGAAAAGAGGAGGAGAGCAGCGAGCTAGTCCCAGACTTGACCTTCCTCTGTGATCCGGGCTCTGGCTGTGCAGGCAGCAGCAGGGTACCACAGCAGTTTCCCAGCCTAATCCCCCCCCCCCCCCCCCCCCGGAGGAACGGCTGCTGCTTTTACTTTCTAAATAACACTACTTCTAATGCACTATGTGTTTAAAGATACTACTTCTGGTTACATATTTTTCAATTAGGTTTGTGGGCTCCCTGAGGAGAGTCGGTGCTGGGGAGAGGCAAGTGAGCATCCCCGTGTGTGTGTGTGTGTGTGTGTGTGCAGGCAAGCGTTGGTCTAACATTCCTGGGTAAAGTCAGTGGAGTGCACTCAGGGCTAACCTTGCCTCTTCCTACAGAGTGTCAATTAGGGAGGGATTTGAATGGACTGAAGTGGAGCCTCCAGTGGGGTGTGTGTGTTGCAGAAAAGGATGGATGGAGCGGGAGCGGGTAGGCATTCAGGAACAGAGGCAGGAAGAAAAGGAAGGGAAGAAAAAAAAAAGAAACAAAGACTCAGAGCAGCAGAGCTGTGAGCTTATTTATAGACGCGTGCGCGCGGATGAATCTCTTTCAGTTTCTCGGCTGGGCTGGGGCCTCACGCTGCGATTCGTCCTCAGCATGACTGATTGATATGACTCATTTACTGACTGCAGAAGGCTGTTAGGACCAACAGACTGTGAAAAATTAAGATATCCTAATGAGAGGACCAGATAAGGCATGCAGCACAAGTTTGGATGATTCAATCTGATTATGACCATAAAATGCTGTCACTCCTAATGGATAATGTAACAAAAGCCCTCTAATTTAACAAGCACCCTTCCCTCAAGCTGCATTAGATTGAGATGTAATTGAAACAATTAGAGGCAGAGGAGGACGAGGGCTCCATGGTAGGCTCTTGAATAAGAGAGGTTAATGTTGAGAATTCTCCAGCATCCCTCTGCTTCTCTTAGCTGTTCACCTCCAATAACCTACAAGTCAGTGGTTTAGTTTTTTTTTTTTTTTCCGTTCCTTTCATTTACTTTAATTGAATGAAAAAAACAGTCTGCACATATTAGTTTCAATCATGTAAAAAGTTTAGTCGGGGCCACGTTCCTCTGTTAGTGTCAGAAAAACTTCCAGTTAAAGGATTTGAAATGACAGACACCAGCTTGTCTATGTAAACATGCCAAAAGTTTCATAGCCAGCCATTTTTAGGACGTCTGCTCCCTTTGACCCGGCGCCATCTTCCTTGTATGCGATTTAACTGCTCATTTGTCTAGTCTTTTCAACCTTTGTAAGCCTTTTAGCTGGACGCACAGATCTGCTTAGTAAAAATGTAAAGATAGAAATGTAAAGATTATAAAGGTACAATGGCATTATATCAGCCACGGGGATGGAAACTTCACAAATGTTTTTTTTTTCTTTTAATTTTTTCTTCCCCCACCTCCAGGGTCAGCGTTGTGTAACGACAATATGTCCCTATGGCAACACAACGTTAAGCACAACGACCATCGCACATGCTTCCACAGACAGGGGGGTCAGTGTGGAGATGTAAAACAGGAGCTAAAAACTAAACTCCTCTTTGCCATCGTGAATGTAACGGAGGGGCTCTCGAATCAGTCACGGCATGTCGGTGGCAGTCGGATGACCTCATCCTGCACTTCAACTTCTTTATTTATTTATTTTATTTCTGGCTCTGCCTAATTAATCCGGGCACTCTGGTTGGCTCCTGACAGCAGGCTTGTAAAGTGAGATTTGCGCGGCGCTCATTATCATTGATGAAGTGGAGTGTCAGCGGTGGGCCGGCCGGGGCTGATGTGGGTGAGCTGCCGGTGGAGAAGTCGTCAGCCCGTTCACTCCCTTCCCCGCGCCGACAGTCCCTCTCCCACATTAATTGCTCCCAGACCACTTCTGTGGCTGAATTGAATTGTAATGGTTCATCAGAAAGTGTAAAATGTGCGGTTGTACGTGGAGGTGTTGGCAGCCTGGGCTGATCTCTGGGGGGGGTTTCTGGTAGATGTGTTGTGTGTTTGTTAAAGATGGTGGTGAAGCTGGTAAAGGGGAAAAAACAAACAAATTTAAGACTGTTATTCCCAGCTAATGCTGCGGTGTAGATTTGATTTATATTGCTGCCTTAATCTTTTTAGTTTGCTATCATAGGAGATGAACCAAAAAGAGCAAACCTGCCATCTTAATTATCAACACATTAGTATTAAGAGCAGCAAAGGAGTGTGATCTGTGTTTCTGTTGCAAAGCAAGTGGAATTTACCAGCTGTACAAACTTAACTCCCTCAGGTCAAATTGACCCAAAATTAGATTTCATCATAATTAATTTTGTAGTGTAATAACAATTTGAGGAAAACAACAAGAAGAAGCATTTATTAGACTGTTTAATGTGGATAGATTGGGAAAGATGGAATTTTTTTTGTAGAGGACGGTTGTGTTTAATGTAATCTGATACAGTTCTGAACACTTGAACATGATTTACCTTGCATTATGCGTGTAAACGAAGCATTTCCATGGTTGTAGTGTTCATTAGCTACCACCAGATAAACGTGGAAGCCAAAGGATAAAAGTGTCTCTTAGAATAAGACATCATGCATTTAATGGACTGCTTCAGTGCATCCTCAATGCCAGAAAATAGTCCCTTTAATCCATGCTGCAAGGTTATAAATCTTTAGCTGTCAATATTTTAAAAGGTTATGTCTTTACCTGTTACTTTGCCAAATTCTAGCCAAGTTGTGGATTTGTGCCTGTTGATTTATTTTATTATTTTTTTCCAAATGGTGTGCAGCCCTTCTTTTTTTAAATTGAATTGAATTTCTGATTTTTTAAATTAATCCATAATGTGTTTACATATTCATTCAATCAGTTGTCCACGGCATAGGATTTTCCACTTTACGTGGCAGTTCTTCCATGAAATATGCCTTTGTGCAGTATAGGTGCTTTTCAAAAGTGGTTCTTCGGTTGTTTTACTTTTGGATGTCTTCTTTTATCGATTATTTATATCTGATGCTCCAGAAAACCATGGAGAATGTCTCCAGGCGATACACATTGGGTTTTGTTTTTAAAAATGATCATTTTATCCACTAAGTCTTTGCGCTGCCGTTTAAAGATCCCATCAATGTTTTTTTTTTAATGATTTGCTTTAACTAGTTGAGGTCCTGTGATGTTTCAGAGAGTCCAAAATGGGAACCACTGATTGGAAACCAGTATTTTGCTGGTCCCCTTTAGGTTCCCGTTTTATTGTAAAAAATGCAACAAAACAGATGAATAATTTTATTTTCTGTGTTATGTGTTTAGTTTTTTTATTTAAATGAGTTTTTTAGGTGTCTTAAATGGGATATTTCAGATGTAAGCTGTACTTAATGAGAAAGTCAAACAACAATTAGTTGTAAATTACACAACTGCCCTGCTGATTAGTTCAGTTTTGGCTGTGATGGTAAATATAGTGGCAAAAGAGTAGAAGATTGACTGTGAACAGATGATGATTATATAAAGCGGGATGGCCTCTGTTAAGGTGGACCAGCCAGTTCATCTCAGACATATTGATCGCCACAATTTACTCTCTTTACTCTGTGGATTATGGCCCTGTAGAGTAATATAAAGGTTTCCTGACATGTCAGTCAGCCGTCACTGCCAATTCCACTGAGCAGACTTCAGCCTGTCACTTAAATGGGTTTGCCAACTCCCCCACCAGCAGCCAGGCAGGCAGCATCTCAAGGGTTCCTGGAGGACGCAGCCTTTTTTTTTTTTCTTTATTCTCCATTCTGACAGTGATACTGTGTCTCTCTGGCTTTTCTTGTATTTATTAAATGCTCTTTTTGCCCACTACAGAGAGTCCATAGTATCATGTTTTTTTCTCTACTGTTTGGTTTTTCTATTAGGCTTAATTATAAAATAGACTTGCAGAACTACGGGGGAAGATGCACTTGGCATGAATGCTCTGCTGACCCCTGTCGTCTTCTGACCTCTCTATACGACTCCAACGACAGGAAGTGTGCATGTAGGCAGGCCAGGGCAGTGGCACCGATTCCACAGTTGGATTTATTGTCGAATGCCTGAGTTTCAATTAGAGGTTCTGACCTTGCCCATCTCGGGGTGGGGAGAGCTGATGCCTTGTTACCCATGGGCTGTAGTTCAGTTATTAAAAACTCCATTACCACCATTACCACAAAGCTAGACATAACTCACAGCACGGATATAGAGATGTCAAAACAGAGATTGATCTTGGAAGTGCAACCCAGAGAAAAACTCTTAAAAAGGTAGAAACACTGCCAGAGCTGAGATGGTGAGGTGAAGGCATCAGTCTGAACCTGAATAGATCTCTGAGCTATACATCTATCATAGGCTTTTTCAATAACCCCTCTCTGTCACCGTGCAGATCCTGAAGGAGTTTAAGGATGAGGACTGGAACATGGGCGATATTGTCCATACGTTGACCAACAGGCGATACGGAGAGAAGTGCATTGCTTATGCAGAAAGTCATGATCAGGTATGCTCCTCTTAAGCTCTCTTACATCGCTAATATTTCACTATTTACCTCTTCTGAAATGTTAAATGTCCCATACGTTTAAGGCTCTGGTTGGTGATAAGAGCCTGGCTTTCTGGTTGATGGACAAAGAGATGTACACCAACATGAGCACCCTGATCCCCATGTCGCACGTGATCGACCGAGGCCTCCAGCTGCATAAGATGATCCGCCTCCTCACACACGGTCTGGGAGGAGAGGGCTACCTCAACTTCATGGGTGAGTCGCCATGGAAATGCAGACAACGTAGTCAACAAATTCGTGCCAGAATAAATGTATAATTAAATTCCTCCAAGTTGAATATCGTTAGCCATTTCATTTACATTTTCTTTTTTTCTTTTTTTTTTTACCTACTCTGCACCAAATTGCTAAAGAGTGCAAATTCAGACACCGTTAATTACCTAACAAAAAAAGGCATTAAAAAAACAACTTATTTGCCCATTAAACTAACATAGGACCACTATGTTTAAATTACGCTTTATCTGCAAGATGGACCTGATAAAAATAAGATTACTGACATAAACTGTTGATCTCTGATTAATAACATGGGGGAAAACTTCTGCACACAAAAGTTAATGCTTTTGTTTTTTTAACTTAAAAAGAGGTTAAATCCATTTCAAGCTCTGTTGATTTGCAGCCTTGGCAATGCAGAGGGAGAAATGCTCATAACTGGGATCTTGGGAAACAACACCTTTGCTGTAAAAGCTAAACCCACATAAGTCGTGTTCCCTTGTGTTGCGACTGGGAAAGTGCACAACAAAAGGTTGACATGCATTTTAAGACCACATAGCTTTAAAGTTTTAAACAATTCTAGTTTTTGTTTTTTTGCCACTGATAACGAACTGCTTCTGTATCGAGAAGATGGTCGCATAAACCATTTAATTTCTCATATTTGAATGACTATTGAAAAGTTGAGATTATTATACATTTCCATTATACTAATTACATTCCAATTATACTACAAATTAGTCCAGTTCATTCTAACTGGATCCATATTATTCTACTAAATAGAAAGGGTAAGAGGGGTTAATGACAATATAATAACAGCATGCACACGCAAGGCTTTATTTCTTTTCTATTTTTTTTTTTCTTTTTCTTCACTAAACCATCAATAGGATGACATCTCACGCATCATCCAGTTTATAATAATATGCCTGACTCGGGTCTCGCATGGAAAACATTTCAGAAACCGTATATATCAAATATGAAACATATGGCATTAAAGAGTTAAACTCCCTTCTATAATGGATGTGTGCAGAATCCTATCAGATCTCTGCTATATGCTTCATTCCACCTGAATTTTGAACTTTCCCCCCTAGGCGGACAAGGCCATCCCCAAAGTGTAAACTGAACAGAAAGAAAAATACATTTGGTCTCCTGTCTTTCCAAGTCTTCCAAAGGCAACAAGTAGAATCAGACTTCTGGATAAATAATTTACTGGTATATTCTGTGAGGTTTTCCCTGAAGGGGCCTTTTTTTCCTTTTATGTATTCTTAGGTTTTTATCTATCTCGTGTTGAATTGCTGTACATACTAACATATCGTGATGTTTTGGTTTTTTCCTGTTTTTTTTCTTTTTCGAACATTGCCAGTGTTGAGCATACAGGTGTAGAGAGGTTTAGCATAGCTTGAAATTACTCCTCCATTTCAAGGCGAGTGGAGTAGAAATCGATAAGTTGAATGACTTTCATTAAAAACATCTGCGCTACAGACGGGCCTGATAATTGTCAGATGAACTTTTCTGAGGCAGGTTTGACATTAATTTTAGGAACAGATGGAGAAATACAGAACATAAATGGGACGGACTTGTTTTAATCCTCAAACGAATCCACTTCTCAATCACCACTGAGGTGCTCCTCATCTGGAGCTCATCGTGTGAAGTAGCTTACGTCTTTATCCAGTCCTGCTGGTGAGGGTGATAAAGTCCTAATTAATGTTTTAGAGTTGGAAACTGACCTTGGCTGAAAGAAAAGCATTTCTTTGACTATGATGACTTGGTCCGATAAGCAAAGCATTTCTTCCTCCCCAGATTTCAGTATCACTTAGCACTGAGCGGGATGTGGAGTGTTACTTGAGTAAAAGAAATAAAAAACTGTAAGAATTTCTGTGAAGTGGATTGACGTGTGGTGGTGGTGGGGGGGGAGGACGAAGCCTAATCACAACAGCTTTTCTCGATGGACCATCATAACTGGGCAGCTTATAATGATGAGAATGTCAGAGGATTGACCCCATGTGGGCAGCTGAAGGGTAGTTGATCGTAATTATATCTGATACTCTGGCTAAAACACAGCTGAAAGGCACTCTCGGCGCTTTGTCTCCCCCGTGGATTTCCGTGCCACCTTAATTTCTACACAATCATCGCGGCTTGGAAATAACAGATGATGATAGGCTGAAAACAATACTTCAAAAGTGGACGACGGGGATCTTTATCGTGCTTTTGGGGGCAAAAAAAGCTGCAAGGTGTGTTCACATCTCAATTCTAACACATTATTTGTATCTTTTGATTACATTGATTTAACATTTGTATATTATTAGGCCTTCAGAAACTCCACCCTTTGTTTAATACTGACAGAAAAATAGCTTATTCTTTAGTGTCCACATCCATTTAAACTCTGTTCAGTGGCAGGAGTCTTTGTTTGGATCATCTTCCATTTTCAGTCCTGCACTTGAACTTTAAGCATCGTCACGGCATCAGTTGATAAAATGATCAAACTCAGGGGGGGATGTATGAGTTGGTGTGTAATTATGTAATGTTGTAGTTTGGATGCATTGGTAAAGGAAGGCTTCTCATATGGAGAAACCTCGGAGTAAGGCTTGAAAGGCAGAAGCTGTTGAGATAAACCAAGCCAAGCCCATCTCTCAGCTCCATGTCGGTACCACAGAAGTGTTTCCCAGTTGTGTGTAGGTGAAGCTTCATCCGAGGCTGGATGATGCTGGAAAGGCAATAGTATGTTTGAACAAATGTGGTCAGTTCCCTGGCTGGCCGGCAGAAATGAAGCTCACTCAGTAATCAAACCAGAGACCGAGGTGGGCATCTGTCCAGTGAGATCAGGTCAGTTTAACATCATGTTTTTGTCACATGAAAGGTAGATTGAGCTTATCTTTATCAAGAAGTTTGTCGAGGTATATTTCAGTGATGGAGGAAAAAGAGTGATGCTGATGTCTCAATGAGTTAAAAATGTAAATCAAAAGTTTCATATTGTTACCAGGGCTGTATAAATAACAGGGGAGTTATGTTAAAAGATTCATTGTGTACAATTTTCTTATTTTTGAGGCTCACAAATGATCAGTCCAGAATATCTAACTCATAACTCACTCTTTTGCTTTTTGTTATTGTGATTTGTTTTTCTCATTGGCGGTCTGTTTTTTGATTCTGAGAAAACGGAGAGACCAGTTTTGAATCGGATGAATCTGGATGCCCCAAATAATGCTGACGACGTCAAACGCTAATAACGGATGAAAGTTATTTATTTTGGATTCTCGGAACCCTCCCGGTTCAAGGTCGTGACATTACATGGGGGGGGGGAAATTACCAAGAAAGAAAAGAAAGAGAATCAAGTAAATCTGAGATGACTGGCCGTGTCAATGGATCAATGACGGCAGAGTCATTTAGTCGGTGCTGAGCTCCGGCAAATTGTTTGAGCAAGCAAATCAATTTGAAGTGCCTAGCCTAGAAAAACCCATTTATTTACTCCCGACCAATAACAAACAGCACGGAGAGCGAGAGGACAAAGGGAGCATCCGCCTCCGAGGGGCTGAGGGACGGATACTGTAGAGGATGTCGGGGGCGTGGGTGACATTAAGCACTCGCCGGCGTGGCGGCAATGAAACGCCTCAGTGGCTTTATCATTACATCAGCCGGGACCAAACGGAACGGCCCGCACTTCCCTGACTTTCAGGGCTCGGAGAGACTTGAGATAACCTTGCAGATTTACAGTCTGAATCCGTGAGCGGAAACTTCCCCCGGCTCTTTGCATTCATGGAGAGCCAGCACACAGCAGAACAGGAACCTGGAAAACCATGTTTCAAAAGCAATGTCCCTGTTAGAGTTAACAGAGTTAATATCAGTCTTGTTGTTTTGGATTAACATGACACGCTAACAAAAATGTCAATCTCGTGAATACAAATCATCGTATCACGGCTGCTTTTTTTCTTTTTTTCCGCTGCGTTTGAGAGCATCTGTGACTCTGGCCTTCCCTTCCCTTCTGATTCCCACATTGATCTTCCTTTGGCAGAATCCCTCCAATGGAAAACACATTGATCCTTGGCTCCGTCTTGTGCTGCTAATTACTGAGGAGAGCGTGTCACTGTCGGGCCCTTATCTGACGCAGGCCTGTGCCGGCCAGTAATGGGAGGCACCAGCTGACATAACCTTCTGTAAACACGCTGGACCCTCCCATTAATCATAAGATAATTGGAGTTACCACAAACCTAGTAATCAATGGTGCCCAGCCAGATTTGACATTAATCTTGTGTCCTCTGACGATATGAGGTGTTGCACGACATCTCTTGGTTACATCCATCCAGTTTCTATACCCACTTCATCCAGTTCAGGGTCCAAATTTGAATATTTATATATATGCTAAAAAAAGCTTGCTAACAAACTAAGAAAAGAAAGACTGATACTGCAGATGTGATGCTTTCCATCTCACTCTACAACTTATTTTTCTCCTCAGTGTTTTGAAAAGACTTTGGGGGAAAAAAGCTCAGTTTTGAAAGGCTGTTTTCCTGGTGGTGTACATTTTCTTTTACACCAAAAGGTTTGCCTTAATATTTTAGCCATTGCTTCTGTCAGCGAACTAGTATTGTAGCTTGCGTCTTTGTTCATTTCTGATATTGTTGCAGCAACATGAATAAAGAAAATGTCTCTGTTGGGTCAAGAAAGCTAAGAGGTCAGGTTACGTGGGTTTGGAACAAACCCTCAGGTTAACCAGATGGAAAACTGCAAACGCCGAAGCTCTTTGCCACAACTTTGCCTTTATTCCTACTGAAAACTGTGACCCTTTGTACTGCGGTTGGTTGTATCTGTGTGCTGTGTTTTCTTTTAGTAGCCTATATTCCCAAAAAATAGATGATAAAACAGTCTCCCTGCACAGCTGACTCCTGCTTGAATTAAGTGCTGTCATTCGCAGTAATAAAACTAAAATGATCATTTAATGATTATAAACAATCCCTCCATAAAACACTCAAACTTCCAGCCGTGCCCATAATATCTGATTACAGTTCTTGTTTATGTGCATGTAGGGGTAGGAATCCATCATAGATTATTCATGAACAGAATG